TTTCCAAAAGTTGAGCCCCCAGAGGGATGCTTATCCCCCGGAAGGAAGAACCAGGGGGGGGGGGGGGGTAGGGGAGGCACACGACAATGGTGTGGCGGTAGTGAAGCGAAGGTTAGCGTAACTACTATAGAGCTTCAACAACAACAACAACAGCAGCAGAAACACCACCACCACCACCACCAACAACAACAACAACAACAACAACGCATGTTTCTCCCCCCTCGGCGGTGTCGTCACCTGAGATCGCTGACCACCGCCGTCGCGCCGAAATCCTGCAGCGAGAGGTACTGCTCGTAATCCGTCGCTCGCACGAAAATCGGCGTTCCGGGGAAGGCCTGGTGAAGCCTCTCCACGGCCTGGTTGCTGACCTCCTTGTTGCTGTATGTGACTACTATCGCCTGATGAGACATAGCAAAAGCAGAGAGCCACACCATCGTTAGTGGCGGAGGGGGAGGTGGCGTGAAAGTTTGCGAGCTACTATCGACAGCCAGTGAGGCAGCAGTAAGGCAGTTAGGCGGTGGATTGCGTTATGAGTCTACAAGGTGAGTGCCGCCGTTCGTTCGCCGTCACTGTGGTTCAAGGTCGCCGAACAACACGCGGAGGCTAGGCACAGCGCGATTGAGCGCCTACCACGCTGTGGTCTCAAAGCAGTCAAGCTAAACGAATTGTTTTTGTTTGTTTTTTTTCACGGGAACTACGCGCTAGGTACAGCCCAGCAGCAGCTTGATACATCGCACGCACATTCGACCAGCCTGACCCTCACCTCACCCAAGGCACCGTGCACTATCGCTACTGCTGTTGAGCGAACAGAAAACACACTTCTTACTACGGCTCGCGCCCCCCCCCCCCCCCCTTGCTCTTCATCTTATCTCGTCTCACCTTCGGGTTCCCCATTCCCGCCGTCTTGAGGACCTCAGGCTCGGTACCGTCCCCGTAGAATACCGGGAAGCCCTGCTCCATGCTCTGCCTTACCCGTATCGGGTTGAGGTCGAAGGCGACGTAGTCCGCTCCCAGCTTGTCTTTGATGACGGGCGTGCTCAGCAAGCTGCCAGAGCAGGGGAGAAACAAAACACGGCGCATCGTCCGTGGTACGAGGCTCTTTAATATCGTGGATCGGCTGGTGGTATCTCAGCTTGTCTGGATTCTAACGAGATAAATCCGCACGAGGTGAGAATAACTTACGATAGTATCGTTGTTTTCGCCCCCGCCCCTCCGCATATCTGGTGTGGCACAGCAACCGCAAAGATGATGGTCAACTTCCTGCCTTGTAAAACGAAGCCTGGGCCGGCGAAAACCCGGCATCTATCGCTCCGTCCCCGCATTGTAGGGATGCAAGGTCAACGGTCGATGGAGGCCGTCAGTGCTCTTCCTCCCGAGTCCCCATTGCTGAAGCGTCTGTGAGCGGGCCTTACATGAGTACACCCGCCCCATCCCCCAACGCCAATCAAGAGGGACAAGGAAACACACGCCGAGACACACACACGCACAGTTTTCTTCTGCTGCTACCGTTTCTGTCTTGAACCCGCACAAGTACTGTCCCGTCCCCCATGACTCCCCCTCACGGGGTCCCAGATCATGGCCTTGAGAAGCATATTGCGTTTTCAGCCGCACCGAGACTGACGTCCTTTTCATCGGTCAGTCGGTTACCTACGCAGCGCGGTCGATGCTGACTACAACACAACGCACACACACGCACTGTGGCCTTTAAAAGCATTTCGTGCTTTCAATCGCACCGAGACTGATGAGGCCCTTTTCATTGGTCAGCCGGTGACATAGCGCGGTCGATACTTAACAAGCAAGCACACACAAACACACACACGCACCTGCCGACGATCTGTCCAACGGGCCCGAAACCGCAGATAACCACCTTCTCCTGCCCGCCGAGCCCCTTCCCTTCCCCCTCCCCGGCCGGGCCCTTGAGCTCGAGGCCCGCCACCGCGCTCGCCATGCCGCTCTTGGTCGCGGCCTCTATCAGCTTCTCACTAGCCAGGTCTCCCAGCTCCGACAGGGCGGGGGTGAGCGCCATCGAGAGCACCACGACTCCGATGAGAAGCCTGTTGAGCTCGTCGGGCAAGACGCCGAGGCGCTGGGAGAGGGACAGGACCACGAACGCGAACTCTCCGCCTGAAGAGGGGGCGGGGGGGGGGGGGGGGGGGCAATGCTCCGCGAAACTTCACTGGTAGAAATGAAAGGGAATCGCGCTTGTTTTGCTTGTGGTGCTGGAGAGGCAGCGCAACGGGGTATGGGCGAAACCAACTATCGTGCAGAAAGATAAAGTCTTTCTCGCGGAGAGGTGGCGCAGCAGGACCTGTTGTTTGGTTGTGTGCTAGAGTTAGTTTTACCTTGAATGTCTTATTATCTATCTGGCTCGGCGTGTCGTTGGTCGAGATGCTGCCAGCAAAAAGTACTGCTACAACAAGTGATGTACCAGTGTTGTGGGCGCGAAATTGTCGCTAGAGATAGCATCTGGGGCTTCAAGGGTCACGCATTGAGAGCGGGCCCAGAGAGGCGCTTACTGCTGTTGCCTTTATTCTTCACAAAGCAGAGTATATATATATAGAGTACGAGGGCGATCGACGGCGACGATCGACGGAGAGACGGCGGCGCGATCGATGAAGGCGGCCCAAGGCCGCCCGATCGACTGACCGACCGACCGACCCAACCCTACCTTACCCAACCCTACCCTACCCAAAACCTAACCCAACCCAACCCAACCTATAGAGTATATAGAGAGTCTCATCGGGGGGCGAAGAGACAGATGAAACCAAATATACGTACATGTTTTTCGACCCTGAAGCCGCGTTGACGTGCCCAACAACGCTCGCGTACGCATGAGACCTTGGGTGATATTGCGTCCACGAACGAGCAGTAACGTGCCAAAATAAATCATAGGTGCGAAGAAGCACGAGCCACTTTGATCCAACTTTTTTCTTTGCTGGCACTATTCTGCTCACAAATTCATGTTTGCATTAATTGAAGGGCTGGTTGCGTCCAGGATACAAGTCTTGTTTTAATCTCAACAAATTCGCTCTTTGCCTGCAGGGAACAAGTAAGATTGGATGGGACCAAAACACACACACACGACTGAGGTTATATCTCGAACGGCTATACTCTTTCTGTGAGGTTATGTTTACTTTCTAAAAAAGAGTCTAAGATAGATTAGCCATGACTCCATAGAGTCAGCGAAAATTCTGTTTTTCCACGATTTCCCGAGCAGCACACGGTGATATCTCCCCCGTGGGTAACAAGGTCAACAAGACAGTTTGGTAACCGTCTTGCGTATCTATACTATATGGCTTTATACCCCGCCCGTCATCACTACACAATACTTGCTGTGTTCAGATACACATGCACATGACCCCCCCCATACCCCCACAATTCCATTCCAGAGGTCCCCCAATCCTCAGGTCAGGTCCGGCCGGACAGGTGCCAGCTGCCAGCTGCTGCTGCTGGGCAGAACGTTTTATTCTGTCGTCAGCCCTCTCCAGCAGAAGCATGGCCACAGCCCCAGCTTCTCCGAGAGTAGCGGCGGATGGTGAACAACGGGAACTCTCTCCGCGAGGCTCACCCGCAGGCTCCGACTGGTCCTCAGGCAGACTAACGCCGTCTATCATGGAGCGAGTGCAAGCGAAAGTGGTGCGGTCGGATTCGGCCACGGCGGACTACAGGGAGGACATCGTCAGGTCTATATTCGGAGAGGTCGGCAAGCCTGTGGAAGGTGGGCAGCTTCTGTGTGTACTACTCTGCATGATGCCGGAGATTGTAAGGGCAGGCTTGAAAACGCGCACGTCTTTTTTTTCCAGTTGATTTTCCCCGCAGCAGACTTTCCGTTGGCGCTCTGGTTGTTGCTTCTGCTTCTCCTTGTCTCATGCTCTCCCCGCTGCTATATGTACACGCCCCAATCACCCCAAAGCATAGCTACACCGCGTTCCACTTGGTACACAGGTGCCCCGGTCACCTTTTGCTAGACCGTGATGAAGTATCACAGAGCTGGTGCCGAGAGAGAGAGACAACCACCGTTTTGTTTTGCTTGGCACAGCAAGTGAGCATACAGCTCCCGTGGTGTCACGCTCTGATAATGTAGGCTGATATTTAGGCTGATACTGCTGTAGGAAGCGGCAGCATGAGTTACATTGATATAATACTGCTGTGGTTGTAAGGGGTGGCGGCAGCATCAGTTACTACTATTAATAGTGTGGTTGCATATGCCTCGAGAGAGAGGGAGGGGATGAGCGAGCTGCGCGGAAGCCACCTCTTGAAACATGTGCCGAGCGATATTTCTCGTGCACCGTGTAGGATGCGCCGCTGGTGGTGGAGAAGTCAAACCAAACGGCGTGCCCGCGTGTTCCATGACCGAAACAAGGGCGGACCGGCAGATTCGAGTGTCCTGATCGATCGATCGATCGACCCCCGGGTCTCCAGTCTGCAGACGACTTTTTAGCATAGTATGCGTAAGAGCTACTGCTGTGGAGAGGACGGAAGGAGGTAGAAGCAAACTTGGCGACTTGGGGACAAAAACGTCTCGCGTGTCTGTCTGTGGACTATATGTACGCTCCTGGCGCCAGAAATATCTCGTTGTTTGCGGCACCCGCCTGCTTTGTTGCTGCTGGCCCGCACTATCCTACCGCGCGGACGAGTGTTTCAGATGTTACGACGTGGTAACATACACAGGGTTACACGAATAGCAACCACCGCTGTGGCCCACGCAGCTTGGTTCAAGTTGCAGTGCTGAGCAACATGTCGCGGCTTGCCCGCCACAAGTATGATTTCCTTTTCGTGCGGTGATGCAGCGTGCGGTGATGCCCCTGCAGGCGGCGACCTTTTGGCGTGTTGCAGGCCTCCCTTGGCCCCGAGTACAGTAGTGGTGAGTACAATCGTTGCGTAAATCTGGACACTTGCCCCTTCTAAGGAACGGTTCTCGCGGTACTATTCCTTTTCGTTGCAGACTTCTCGTGCGCTGTGGAGAGCCGAATCCTGCTCCACGGACGCATGTACGTCACTAACACCTTCGTGTGCTTCTACAGCAACCTCTTCGGCTTCGAGAAGATCATCAAGATTCCATTCTGGTGAGAATTGAAACCTCGCGGAGAGGGGTTGCTGAACGGAGGCAAACTCGTGTTTTGCTGGCTTGGTTGGCAGAGTTGGGGCGAACCTTCATATCTTGAATTTTCAGCCAACTCCAATAAACACCAATTTCCGGCTCTTCCCCCCTTTGGTATATAGTATGTGTCCGTCTGCAATACTCGTTTTTTTATAACTTTTTTGTGAATTTTTTTTTGGGAGGTACAAGTAAGGTGGTGATGGGAGTGTGTTGATCATATCGAGAGATCGGTGACGTGAGCAACTGATCCTGACCAACGCACGCACGCAAAATCAGGTCTCGATCTTTCGGCGTTCAGTCGGGTACACAGCAGTATTGGCGGCAGGAAGGCGTGCCGATTGAAGCGGACCAACACACGAACCTGCTAATTATTGAAACACGCACATGCAATGTGTATTGCGCCACCCCTGTCGGTAGAAGAACCCTTTCACTGGAATTCCAGCGTGTTCGCGCGCGTTGTCTTGTCTCGCAGTACCAAGACTGATGGCGTACTTTCGTAGGTCAGCCGGTCAGCATGGTCGACTCAAAAATAGAGGAACACACATAATAGAGTTGTGTGTGCAACGGCGGTGTTCGCGCAAGTCTCTCGATGGCAGGCGCGCGCCAATGATGCAGTGTCCACCCGACGACAACGACGACTGCAAGAGGCCAACCGCATCTCTCTGTAGCATTTCATACAACAGTGTTTTTCCTTTAAGACCAAGCCGGAGACAGCATGACGAAGAGGATAAGCTCTGACCGACAGCGAAAAGGAATACCAAAAGGACATGTTGTCTGTTTGGCGACTCCGCCGATGGGCTTGTCCCTCGATATCTGGCGTTTTCCTGGCGACGCACGTGTTTTGCGTGATCATTTCCACTGACAAGACAGTTCGAGACTCCCGCCCCGCCCTGCCCCTGTGGCACTTTCAGGAAATCTGCGGGGCTTCCCCTCAGACATAGGATACGCTGTCAATGTGTCTTCAGACCCAAGAGCACAAGAATAGAACGAGTTCCCCCCCACCCACCCAAGCTTAACAGCGCCAGTACCCCTACCCCCGTACACACTAATATACTGCTGTTCAGCCACATGAGGTGCATCACCAAGGAGAAGACGGCGCTCTTCATTCCCAACGCCATCGCCATCATCACCTCCAAGAAGGAGTACATCTTCCGCTCCTTCTGGGACAGGGAGGACGCCTTCAAGACGCTCAAGCAGTGCCAGCAGGACGCCTCGAGTACCCTGACGCAGCAGCAGCATCAGCAGCACGCCGCCGCCGCCGAGAGCTCGCTGATGCTGGAGAGAGAGCTGGACTTGAGCAGCAGCAGGTGTTTCTGTAGTGGCAGTCGCAGCAGTAGGGAGAGGCGGCAGTAGCGGTGATGGCGGTTGTGAGCACTTATTTTTTCGGAGGTCTAGTGTAGGTGTTCTTGTTGCCGAGACGAAGCTCCGAAGGTGAACTCGACATCGCCACCAACAATCTTGCCGCCCGCGATGGTGTCTACCCCCTTCCGTTCCATCCGCCGACCCCCCCTTGCAGGGAGAACGAGGACCCGGAACAGAGCCAGAACCAGAACCAGCGGCACCACGGGCGACGCACGAGCAGCAGCAGTCGCGTCGGAGACGAAGATGACGACCAAGGCAAAGGTGTCTTTCGCGTACAATCTCATGACAGCAGTTGACATTTCCTTCCGAAAGTGTGCAACACTATTAGTTACGGCGTCTCTTCATGTGTTCGCATACGAGAGAAGGCAAGGGAGAAGCTGCTGTGGCCCCGAGCATTTGTGTGTGTGTGTGTGTGTGTGTCACGTACATCTTGTGTCGTGTTGTTACTCTTGTGCAGACACCCTTTCTCTTTCTCTCTCTCTCTCTCTTGATGCCGATAGATTTTCTTAGAATTTTCTCAGCAGTGCCGTAGCGCGGTCGTCTTTTGGTTGGCGTTTCGATGTCCCAACGTCCACGCCGAGAATTTTCCGATTTTCGGCTGCCGAGGTTTGCCCCCGCCAACTCTCTGTGTGGTGCGAATGATGCTGCGTGGCAACACGGCAGATCTTGAACCTGGGCAGGGCGCACGGAGGAAGTTGACGTGGTCAGAGAATGGCGAACGAGGCAGATCGTCGTCCAGCCTAACAGGTGACGTGACCAATCATCACGAGCAGTTTTGATGATCCAACCCCTGAACACGTGCCTTCGGTTTTCGGTTGTGTGTCGTGATGTGGTCGTGTGTTGTACTAGATGTCTTGTTGCGATACTAGATGTCTTGTTGCGATGTCGTGTTGTGTCGTGATGTGATGTGATGTGGTGTCGTGTGGCGTGGTGTGGTAGACGGGTTTGCTATAAGTTGTTGCTGTCGCGCTGCTATTGTGTATCCGACAAAGTGGGGTCTTCCCACCCAGTAGCGTCGATTGGTGTGACGTTGCGAAGGACAACCTCTTGGCGTCGTCTACACAGCACTGGTACAGCAGTCCAGGGACTAAGTTGCGCGTGCAGCGCACTGCGAACTGCTGCCGTTGCAGCCGACTAGCGCCTCCGTTGGTGTGGCATGGCTTCGGAGTTCGTTGTCGGTCTGTCCTCGGCTAGAGTCGAAGCGCGTGCCTTCCGTGAAATGACAAGCTGAACGTTTCCTTTCCCGAGGCACGGGAACTCCACCCACAACACACACCCCCATCCGCCATGCGTGTATTGAAGTATTTGTTATCCCACGATGATGAACGGTATGGTTTATGAAAATCGCCGCTCCCACCAATCTTGACACTTGCTGCAATTGTTGGCATCGGTGATGACATCGGTGATGACATCGGTGACTGCTGGCTGGCTGGCCGGCCTAACACGATATCCTTTCCTCCCTCTCTCCCTTCTTCGTCACGACCAACTCACGCCACACTCTTCCTAGTTGAGGGCGGGGGGCCGCAGCAGCAGCAGCAGCAGCAGCAGCAGCAGCAGCAGGGAGAAGACCACTGCCTCAGCGTTTCGGGCCCGAGCTCGAACGACGCGAGCAACAGCAGCTTTAGCCTTCCCGCTGCCGCCGCCGTCGACACACCGCACGCGGTGGCGGTGGCCTTGGAGCCACTGGAGGCCTCGCCAAACGGCGGAGTCGGGGAGCAACAGCAGAGCGCCGCGGAGGGGGTGGGTGGGAAGGAGGAGGCAGACGGAGGAGCCTTCGCTGTGGAGGGGAACGGCCGGGGCGGGAAGGGGGAGGGCGAGGACGAAGGCGACGCGGGGTTAACCGTATCGGACGAGTACGAGTCGGAGGTGGACGTTCTCGGGGTGAGGGAAAACAGACCAAGACTGCTGTGGATTGGAGATCAGACTAGATATTTACAACGAATAAACATGTTTTAGTCGAAGTGTTTCGCACGGATCGACAGGGAGCCGTGCGTGTACTCGGGGCGAGGGAAAACAGCGAAGACTAGCGTCGATTGGTGATGAATGATTAATAGGAGCCATCAACTTTTCAACCAACGAACCCATGTTTTGAGTTGCAGTGCATCAAACGACGCCCAATCTGAAACGAAAGCGTTTGTCTTTTCTGGCGATGAGACGGTGTGTGTACGTCCAAACTGAGAGAAAAAGGACGAAAAATTGTACCGCAGGGGACTGACCATTCTGTTGTTGTCGCGTTGAGTTGGGTGCTGGTATTGTTCTTCTTGCTGGAAAATGTGCCACACGAATCAAACCGACTTCCAACCTGGGAATGCGGACGCCTTGATGGTGGTACAATGTATGCATTTCTATGTTCTTGGGTTAGCATCGACCGCGGCTTGTCGGCTGACCAATGAATGCGTTTCTTGCGTGCGAGTCGGACACGTTGGGTAGCGAGGGAGCTTGCCCGGCCAGCCGTCCACGCACGGATTTTAGGACGGAGTTGCGATGCACTCAAGACATGTTTTTGTGTGCGCCAAGTCTCGCCATCTAGAATGGTGTATGCAGGTTTGACCGGTACTTCTTCTCTAACAGAGAGCAAGACAAGATCCCACTACGGACGACAACACTAGCAGTGCTACCTGAAAGATATTTTCTCCCCCGGAATGTCTTGTTGTCGAAACGGTTATTTCACAACCACCGCGGCAGTAGCTCACCACGCATGCTGTAGCAGTAAACGCTCCAACGTGTCCAGTCGTACGTACATGGCGTCACACGGGGGTCGTCGTCAACAGATGCAACGACTGCTGTTCGTTGTCCGACACCAAAACCGACCCTTCGCATCTGTCCCTCCCTCTCGCTCGCTCGCTCGCTCGCTTCCCCTTAAGGTGGAGGGCAGTCCCGTGACTGCTGTGTCCCTAGGCGCAACCACGGGGGGCGGGAAGATGCCCTCCAAGGGAGAAGATTTCAAGGTAGCTCTAACTGCGCTCGGGGAAGGGTGGCTTCTTGGCGACAGCGGCAACGCGGCGGGGGAGGGGAATCAGGCCGAGCGACCAAAGGGCAAGGGTGCCGCCGTGAGGGTATCTACGGAGATCCCGTGCCAGTTGCAGGTGGGTTTTTGGGTGATCACCACGCCGCTGTCCGCGCGGGGATTGCTGCTGCTGCTGCTGTGCTATACACATGCCCGGGGTCTTGTGGTTGTGGTGGGTTGCTTGGGTTTTGCCCGCTAGAGTGAACGGGGTTGTAATGCGAAGGCGTACGGCGTTGAAGCGTAAGTAAGAATGTGCGCGCGGTTCAACGACAGCACACAGGGAAGCGAGATGTGTCCGTGTGCCGCTGCTGTTTGTTAGTTTGGTCTCTCGGTACGGAGGTAAAGGAAGTGGGACTCAGACACGTTTCATGCTTAGGTGTTCGAGCTGTTTTGGTTTTTTGGGGTACTGCTGCAGGCTGGTACCGCGCGTCGGGTTGGTCGAGACATTTTCTGGTCCCAGGATTCCTTGCCGTCTCCGTTTCTTCCGGCTAACCAGCAACTCACCAGCCATCAGTCCATACAAACAGCTCGATCGCGCTTACTCAACCAAGCGCATGCATGACCTTGTTTGCGTATTTGTCTCTCTCTTTCTGTCTTGTCTCTCTCCTGAGCCAGTCTTTCATGTGTCGGATGTGTAGTCGAGCCCGAGGCAGGGAGGCAGGACAGACACACTTGGCACACACCGTCTTTTAAAAACACCATTTGTTCCCTGCCACACTGCCTTACACTGAACTGCATCCCTTCTCTCCCGCCCAATCGCGGCCGAAATTCCTGCCTTCACTACGGTTAAATTAGGATTTCTTCCAGCTGTTCATCTCCAACGATGCCGAGAAAGGGATACCGGCTTTCCACCAGTCTATGGGAGACTCGGACGTGAAAGCTACCCCGTGGAAGGTGGCCGGCGGGGCGCTGGGCATGACGCGGGAGATCCGCTTCGTGCACCCGATCTCCGCTCCGATCGGACCCAACAGCACAAGGGCGGTCAAGCTGCAGCGGTGAGATAGGAGTGGGGGGGCTTTGGTGTAGTTGCACGGAAGGTTGTGGAGGATACCGCACACCCCCTTGAACCGGTGGTCCAAGCGCGATTAGTTCTGTAAACAAAAACAACAGCGGTGCCGACCATGGCGGCTCTGGAGCCGTCTAGCGGAGAGCTTTGTGCTTTGCATCGTTTGGATTGCGGCGTCCTCTTCGTCGTGGAGTAGTCGAGCTCTGCAAATGGGTCCCAAGGGGGTTTGTTATCTTACGAATGCAACCTACAACGGTATTCGCGCGGGGGGGTAGCCAACCCTTTGGCCTAATGTTTTCCTACTCAAGCTCACGTACCTCTGCTTTTCGCATGAGGTTGAACGTAGTAGGTATGTGTTCGGAGCCTATTTGGTGAGTGTCGTGAGTACCACGTGCTCATGGAATTCTGTGGAGTTTTCCCCGCGAGTGCTGGAGAGAGTATTTCGAGTTGCTATGTGATGCTACACTTGTTTGTTTTCATCGTTTCCAGTTTGAGAGAGAGGGGGGCGGAGAGGTAGAGAGGAGAAATAACGACAGGCACTCTTTGCCGCGCTGAGACCATAGGCCGTGCCAAGGCGGTGACGTTTTTGCGCTCACTACATGCTCTTCGTTGTTACACCTAGCCACAGTTGGCATGACGCCGCAGTCTAATCTCTCTCTCCCTCTCTCTCTCTCGCCCCCCCGGCTTACCGCCGTCTCAGCTGTCGGCTGTACGATGAGCACGGTCTTATCCTAGAAACGTCGACGCACCTGGAAGACATCGTGATGAGCGACTACTTCCAGATCGATGACCGTTGCGTGGTGCAGCCCGGTCAAGACGGGGCAGTTCGTGTGGATGTGGAAATCGAGGTGACCACCTACGTCGCCATACTCTCATAGTCTTTTGTGATGAGTTGTGTCTTGTGGTGTGGTGGCGACGACGTCACGGCAGGGAGGGGGGGCAATAGGGGCGTAGCTTCGATGGGATGGAGGGGGGACAGGAGGCAAGTGAGGCGGTGCCGATTGTGGGTTTTTACGGCGTGTGAGAGAACAGCCTCGGGTGCCGGGGGCATGGCAGTCGTTGCATGGCAAGGCTGCGCAGCCAAGCGTACGAGATCGCCGACCACCGAAGAAGAGAAAAGCAGCAACTCGTGTTCATGCCAAACCACGGCTAGAGCAAGATTCTCCTAGACCCTCCTACTCAACTCGAGAAAATGGTGTGCTGTGGTTTTTTGTTAGCTTGGCCACATGGACTGCGCGAGGGCCCACCTAGGTTTCGTCCCGACTGAACCAAGCAAGAACGGCCAGCCCCGGGCGCAAGCCTATGTTCGCGTACATGGAATACGCACTCTGTGGTTGCCCTTCTTTTTTTTTCTTGTGGCACCCCAGCCCCCTGATGATGCGTCTCCCCTCCCCGATTTCTTCTGACTCACACCCCGGTGCTGCAGATCAAGTTCTTCAAGAGCACCATGTTTCGAAAGACGATCGAGACGAAAAGCCTCAGCGAGACGCGGCAGGTGTGGGAGTCGTTCATCGGCATGACGAAGGATGCCATCCGAAAAAGAAAACCAGGTGTGTTGACGACAACGGCGCGAAGAAATGGCAACGCCTTTCCTCACCTCAGACTAGCTCCAACGCTCGCAGCTTTGCTCAAGCTGGGTTTAAACATGGTGGGCAAACAATCACTTTCGCACTCATGCTCCGACTTCGCCATGTATCCCGGGCATCGTCATCCACCTAACACGTGGCGCAACCCCCTCGCCCGCGTCTCCCCTTGTCCCAGCGATGCCTGTGCGCACCGTTACCAGCGGCGGCGACGAGTCCGATGACGAGGACCGGATCCGGGCCACCCGCGAGCGCCTTCGCGAGCGCCGGAAACACCGCCACCACCGCACCCGCCACCACCACCACCCGCCGCCCCACGCGCCGCACCCGCCGCCGCCCCCCGCCCATCCGCACGACAAGCCTCCGGACGGAGTGGAATCCCGACCCCGCGCGAAATCTGCCACCGCCGCCGCGCCGACAATGGCGGCGGTGCCGCCTCGGGCCCCGGCTCAGGACGCGGCCCCGCTGAGGAAACGAGGCTACAGCGGGGTAGGGTTCGACCGAAAGCGAGGTAGCAGCGGCGGTGCCCCCCCCGAGCGGAAGCGGGGGGACAGCGGTGCCGGAGGAGGAGGAGGAGGAGGAGGAGGAGGAGAAGGAGGAGGAGGAAGGAAGTTGGTCGCGGCTATGGACACCGCTGAGTATGTGGTCGTGCCCCCCGTCGAGTCCCTGAGTAACTGGCTCTTTTCGTTCGCGGCGGTGCCGTGGCTTTTGCTGGCCCTGGTGTTGGTGGCGGAGGTTATCGCGTACTCGAGGTTTTCCAGCGAAACCGCGGGGTTCTTGGAGGCCGCGGAGGCGGCGTTGGTGGTGTTGGGGGGCTCGCGCGCGGAAGATGGAGACGGGGGGGGGGGTGTCGTGGGGAACCGCACCGCGGCGTCGCGAACGGCATTGACGGCAGAGCTGGCGCGCGGCTTGATGCGCATCTATTGTCGGCATCGTTTCTTGTGGCCCTTCAGCAGGTTCTGTTGAACGAGAAGCAGAGTGGGGCGGGGCAGTTGCAACGTGTCTTTTTGGGTTCTTTCTCTTCGTGCGGGTAGTGTTTGCCCCTGTGATTTCGGTGGTAGCCCCCGTGATTTGCGTGCAGGGGCGTTGGTGCCACCAGCCAAGGCTGCGTGCACCTCGCGACCCTTTGCTTTTGGGTTTCGGTGGGGTGAGGAGGCATTGGTAGACACAGGGTGGGGGCGAGGCGAGGCGGCCATATGGGCTGTGTTCTTTCGGTTGTTCCCGCAGGGCGTTGCTGTGGAGCAGCGCGAACAAGACAATCCCCTCGAATTCCCTGTTTTTGCGCAAGCGTGCCTTTCCCGCCCATCCATGGGTTTGTGCGATGTGCGAGGTGGATGGGTGGAGACTGTCTTGCCTCTAAAATTGTGTTTGCTGCTAGGTTTGGTTGATAACTCTTGAAAACCTCGGTCTGTATTGTCGACGACAACTGATGATGCTACTTGTGTTTCGCCGCTTCTGTTTTTTTCCGTTTTGCGTTTCGGCGTCTGAGATGCGGTCGAGAGCACTGGGCACGGGCAATGAACTTGATTTTTGTATAAATATGCGGAGCTTTGTTCGGCTCTCTTTTCAATGCCTGTTATCGATTTTCTGTTGCCTCCCGCAAGTGTTTTGTCGATTCTATCGTGACAAGAAGGATTGAAGAGGGGCATGCACCCTTTGCGCGTTCCCACGTGCGTGGTACCGTGTGACTCGTACCTGTAGCGTGTGTAAGCTAGAGTGCGAAGCTCGGCGGTACGCCAGCATCCAATACAGGGGGGTTAATTTGTATGCTAGAGTCTATTTGTGATGCTTCCGGCAAGAATTGCACCGGCGCAACACCGTGAAGTGTGGGGAAGTCAACTCCCCGCCTGTGTGTACCCGGCGAAGTTGCGCTGGAATTCGACTTCTTCACTTGACTGGATTGAAACTCCGAAAGATTTTCACCGATTGGGACTTGAGAGCTCAAACGCCATGAGCCTAACTTGAAATGGGGAATACTACAGAATTCATCATCTTGTTGGAATCTCGACTCGCGTTTCGAGACAAGGCGCATTGTTTTGTTCACGACGTTCGCTTCAATACCGCAGTACTGAGGTTCGCCTGCAGAATGACGTCATCATCACCTAAAGACACGTGGGGGGGCGGGCGTGTCCCTTTTTGTTGCCCGAACTCTTCCTGGTTGCACAGGTTGGGCTGCATAGAGCAAGGTCTTGCTCTACGACTTCGACCAGTACGCCAATCTTACTGCTTCCCCCCCGAGGACAGTCAGTCCTTGCTTAACTAATAATACATTCTGGTCTCGTTCTATTAAATGTTAAAACCCTTGCTCACGGATCCGCTGCTGTGGTCAGCCCTTGGTTCGTTTTCTTGCCAAGAATCGGGCGCGCGCTGCCTCTATCGCGTCGTTCTTCTTTGCTAGGCTAGAAGCCTCCGCGGTTCGTCCTGCAGCGCCAGCAGCAGCCGCCGCCGCAGCCGCCGCCTCCTCCTCCTCTTTGCCTCCCCCCGCCCCCGGCGCTGCCGCCAGCGCTCGGCCACAGAGCCGGTCCGAGGAGCACGGCCGCACGGCCTCCAGCCGCGACCGGAGCCAGCGGCCCTTCACCGCCATCGCGTGGCGCATGAACGGCCTCGCGGTGAAGACGAGCTCCGTGTACACCACGTGCTCCGGCGGCTCCTGGGCGTGCACGAGCGAGGAGGTAGGGTGCAGGTACATGAGCGTCAAGCCCGACCGCCCGGCGCCGTCATCGCCTTCCTGCTGCAGGGCGCCCACGGCCAGGGATCGGTACACCCACTCCTTGGAGCACCGCTGCCCCGCCTTCGTGAAGTACCCCGCGCAGACGGCCTTGCGGACTTTGTCCAGGTCGCGGCCGCAGCTGGTCACCTCCAAGCCCCCCTCTTGCCTTCCTCGCCTGCGTCCCCCCCCGCTAGCTTTCCGGACCTCCCCGAGAAGCTGCGAGCGCACGCTTCGCGCGGTCCGGAGCGCGCGAACGCGCAGGAACTCCTCCTTCGCCCAAGCGTCGCTGAAGCCGCTCGCTTCCCAGGCGCGGTACACTGCCAGGTACGTGAAGTGGTCCCCGAGCGGGTGCCGGAAGAGGGCGTGGCTGGCCTCCGCCTCTTCGTCCCGCTCGCCGCGCTTCCCGCGAGCTCCGCTCCCGGCACCACCACCGCCACCACCTCCCCCCTTGCTCCTGGTAAACCAGATGCTCTCTACGCTTAGCAGCGCGACGATGGTCAGGACCTCTTCGAGGCAGCCCAGCTCGCCGGCTTCGAGCAGGGTGCGGCTGAGGCTGGGTTCCAACGGGAAGCGGCTCATGCGGCGGCCGGTGTCGGTGGCGCGGCCGTCTTGATCGAGGGCCCCGAGGCAGTAGAGGTGCTGCAAGGCCTCCAGGGATTGGTCTTCGGCAGGCGGGTCCAGGAAGTCGAACGCCAGGATGTCGTCCACGCCGAGAACCTGACGCGGGTATGTATGCCAGTCGAGAAAGTAAACACGCGCACGAGGAAAGAATAGTTGCTCACGCACCGGCAAGCCACACGAGTGCCTGGCTTGGTACAGGCAGGCGTGGTGTGTATTCAGGTATCAAAGATTGCACCGATCGGAGACATGCGAGCAACTGCTGATGCAGAGCACCCGTCCAGACACATCCAACACCAACCTGCACACAAAACGAGAGAGTTGACGGCACTGCCTCACGTAGAAGAAGGCCACGCAAACCGCACTCTTTTCGAGCTTGTGAAGCAAAGCCTCGTGAGCTTCCCCCGCACCCGAAAACCTCTCTTCGAAGGCAGCCCACCTTCAGATAAAGAACGGTGTTCGCAAGATTCGTGCGGAGAATTTCCGGCACAGTCTCGCCCAGCATCCCCCCGTAGCAGTTGCGCGTGTACAGCCTGTAGCACTGGCCGGGCGCAGTTCTCCCCGCCCGACCCGCCCGCTGCTGCGCCGCCACTTGGCTGATCGGCACCACCACGAGCGATTCCATCCGCCGCGCGGGGTCGTACGTCTTCTGCTTCACGTACCCGGGGTCGACGACGAAGCGGACGCCGGGTACGGTGACGCTAGTCTCCGCGATGTTGGTTGCCATGACCACCTTGCGACAACGCGAACGGCATGGTAATTGGATTTGTTTTTTTGTGTACTTTTCTTTTCAAATAGCTCTCTGTACTGCGCGGAGTTCTACGCTTCCACTTTTGAATGTTTGCGTGATATATGCGGGCACGGTGACGCCCGTCTTCGCGATGTTGGTTGCCATGACCACCTTGCGACAACGCCAACGGCACGGTAACTGGATTTGGCTTTTGGTGAAAAGCCAAGCGAGTGAGTGGACTTTCCGCATCGTGCTCTGTGTACTGCGGAGTTCTACGCTGCCACTGTTGGGCTCGTCCGTGATTTACGCGAAACTGCAGTGTGTCCGTAGGTGTGTCCGACACTTCTGCCGCGGGGAGTCTACCTCTCTGCAGGTTCAGCTTCCGGTTCACATAATCCATCTACACGACCCGATTGTCTGTCGAAATATATATCACAACCCAAACAAGCCGTAAAACCAACGACCAAAACAAGTCGACATTCACCAAAGTCGCCAAGAACCAAACAAAAGCGACCACATTGCCCTTGTCGCGCCCTGCGATCGAAAAGAAACAAACGGCCAATGTCCTCACCTTGCGCACCCCGGCCCTCGCCGATTTGAACGCGTCCGCCTGGGCTTCCGCCGACAACGCTCCGAACAGCGGCACTACTATCATCTCGCTCACGCCGTTGTCGGCCTCCTCTTCGATGCCCATGGCGCGTCGGTCTATCTTCTCCTGTGCCACGGCCTCCGAAAGCAGGCGACTCGCCCGCTCGATTTCGTCCTGCCCCGTGAAAAACGCCAGGACATGCCCAGGGCCCTGGGTCCGGTGCACCTTGCGGATGATGTCAACCGCGTCCTCGACGTAACGGGGGGAGGCAGGGCCAGTGGCCGTCATCACCTGTTGCGTTGGTTCGAGACCAGGCGGGCAGCATTTGTCAAGCTCTTGCAGACTCAGACTGTGTGAGAGGGTACTACGTTTAAGGAGGAGGCAACGCGTGGCGGCTCGCACAACAGGATGTTGCTGCTCGTGCCTCGAAAACTATTTATTAACGTGAAAAACATATGTGGTGGAGGGAGGGTGATGCGTTCCCCGCCATGCCCGACAAAGGTTGATGGTCGCATCACCTGAGTAGAGAAGCAGCCTGCATCGATACGCCGGTCCACGTACGGTAGCGCACAACGATGAAGTCGAAACAATAAACCAGGCAACAAGAACGAAGGCTTGTTGGCAGGAAGCCGGCGCCCTTTCTCTTACCTGGCGAGTCTTGCTGTGGTAAACGTCCACCGCATGCGTGCGGCCCGGGACGTTGATGAACGGACACCCATCGAAGAACGCCGCGAACCGCTCGACGTCTAGGGTGGCGGACGTGATCACCGCGCGCAAGTCGGGCCTGCGCGCCAGGGCCCTCTTCAGCAAGCCAAACAAGATATCCGTGTCGATGCTGCGCTCGTGTGCCTCGTCCAGCATCACCACGCCGTAGCGGCTCAAGTAAGGGTCCTCCAGGCATTCCCTCACCAACACCCCGTCCGTCATGTACTTGATGCGCGTGCGAGGCCCCGTGCGATCCTCAAACCTGATCGAGTACCCGACCTCCTCGCCCAGCCGGCACCCCCGCTCGTCGGCCACGCGCTTCGCCACGCTCGTCGCCGCCACCCGCCGCGGCTGCGTGACGGCAACCAGAAGCTTCTTGTTGTTGTGGGAGGGCCTCTTGCCGTCTCCAGGCGCTGGCGTGTCAAGCGCAACTCCCTCGTCTTTATCCTTATCCTTACCCCCTGAGGCGGTTGTGTCAGCGTCCCTTTCGCGCACGAGCTCGAGGAGATACTGCGGGATCTGGGTTGTCTTTCCCGAACCGGTCTCGCCCGTACACACCAACACCTGGCTCCCCCGCACCGCTTTCATGAGCTCGTCCTTGAAGAGGGTGACGGGCAGGGGTTCGGCCGCATCTTCTTCTTCTTCGGCAATTTTGTCTCCCTTGTCCTCTGATTCCGGTGCGTCTTGCTGCCGCCGTTCGTGATTGCCCCACCTGCTCTTCCGGCGCGAGCGCTCGTGGCTACGCTCGCGGGATCGGCTACGGCTGTGCCCCCGCTCTCGCCGTCGCCGTTGGTGATCCGAGCTACTGCTGCGGCTGCGGCTGCGGCTTCGTTTTGACGCCTTTCTGCCGCTGCGTCTGTCACTGGCACCCCTGCGGTCATCGCGGTCGCCGTGTCGGGAGCTTCCTGAAGGATGTCCGCTGCGCGAATCAACATGTTCACCACGTGCTCGCTCCCGGTCGGAGCTTCGACGATGTCGGTCGTCGTTGCCCATCGGACCGCCGTTGGCTGATTTTCCGCTTGCCTGTTCAACCGATTCTTCGCCGACCTGCTGCCCAGGGGGGCTGAAGAGGTCCAGCGCAAGCACACGATGAAATAAACTCGCGATCAACGCAACACACCGTACCAGCCGCAGGACACTACACACTCCACTCCGACAGCACCCAAGGACAGCAGCTTGTGCGGCGGAACTAGGGGGAGTCGTGATTCGTCATAGTATACAATCATTAAGAGATAATCTCTGTGTGTCCCCTCTCCCTTGTCATCTCGGTGGCACATGTCAGATGTGCCTTAGCTTCTTGCTCGTCACTCAATTTCTCTGGAGTGTCAGTGACCATGGGCGATGGCTACTCGGGGCCGTGCTCTTGTTTACTAAACTGTGTGAGATCCTGGAGAGAAAGAGATCGCCTGCGTCGACACACAGAGCTCCTACGACAAGGTAAGCAGTTGTTCCGCTGTCCCTTGTAGACTGACTGCCAGGGGAAATCAGCACCGAGGCTATCGACACGACCACAGCAGTACGCGTCTGCGATGTCAGGTTCTCACGCCAGGTTTTCGTGGAGGTTCCGATGGCTGCTATGGATGCCCCATCGTCAAGGCATGCGTCCAATAATGTAACTCGCTTCTAGTGCTCTTTCCAAACCGCCTTCGAGGTCCCCCGAAAAAGTCACAACAATCACAGATGTCGTTCGTACTCGAGACTCGAGACTCGAAGAAAAGAACGCAGCGTGCAGCACAGCAGTGCCTCGGTGCAGATGCGATGATGTAAACAAGGCTAAACAACAGGGTAGCCCTTCAGTGATTGCATCTAAAAAAGCAAACTAGAGGGGTGCATGTGATACGGCGTTTCATTTCCCGAAAACAACTTGATTTATCTGCGCGTTCGTCCAACCAAAATCGGTTAAAATTTATGTGTATAGGTATCACATCGACAACACATGTGTCGGTGGGCGCCAGTGCTTGTGCTGGTACAGCAGTACATGCGAGTATTTCAGATGGATCCAACCTATGGGGGGAGGAGTCTGAAATTGGTGTTTATTGGAGTTGATGAGAAGTGAGCATTTATTATTATGTGCCAAAGAGGATGTCTGCGTGCGTATAGAAGAGGAGGCATGCGCGCCGAGAGAAGGCAGCTGCTCGCAGGACATTCCGTTTGCGCCCGATCACGTTGAAGCATCATCAGTGCTGGAGCATAGGGACTGCTAAACGTACGAGTGGACAACACTGCCAGCTACTACTGTTCTGTTCCGGGGAGCTAGTGTTGTACATGCTGGGATACACAACTGCCTGTTGTATTTTGTGTACGGGTAACCTTTCCTAGGCACTAAACTCCCGCTGTTGTCCCATCTTTTTCAGACGAAGGTGTTCATTATTTCCGTTCGCTTTCTCTCGCCGTGAGTGTGTCACGTGTTTTCGTCACTGGCCCCGCCACCTGCCGTGCATGGCATATTCCACCGCTCGTTCTGTGGCGTGATGATCCGCTGTGTCAATATACCGCATGAATGATCCATCCACACCACAGGGGATCTGTTCAAGCGAAGAACATTCACCTTTGGGTTCGGCACCGGGCATGAATCCACCGATGTGCGGCTGAAGCCAGATTTCGACACGGTGCTGGCGTGGAGAAAGAAGAGCGAGGGGGACAAGGACAAGGACTGGCACGAGATCGATCTCAACGACATCAAGACTGTAGAACCAAAAGGTTGGCGTTGCTGGTCCTATTGCTTTGCTATCTGGTGCAATTATCTTGCGATGTCCGACTGAGGTTGTCTGTACTCGAGACGTCTGACTACTGCCTGCTGTCTGCCTACTGCGTGCGAGGGTGCCAGCTGGGTTATACTTGTAGGCATGTAGTTTCCCACGGCATACCCCGCAAACCGCTGGGACGCGCACCATGTAGAGACTACCGTATATGACACAAGATAACACACCCCCTGGACCGATTTTCAAAGCTCGATTACTCCACGACGAAGAGGATGCATAAATGAAACCATACGTTTTCGAACAGCTCTCGACGAGACGGTTCCAACGCCGCCGTTTTCGGCGCTGTGACTCTTCCTGCTGTTGAGAAATCGAGCTTTGAAAATCGGCCAAGGGGGTGTGTTATCTTGTGTCATATACGGTATTCCTCTATTTCTCTGCATGCAGAGCTAGCCTGAATGAACGTCGCGATGGTTTGGCAGCTCGCCGTTAACGCCTGGGGCCCCGACAGATGACTTCGCCCACGCCAGTGCTGCTTTGCCACAATTGGTCGTGGGTGAAACGAAGTAAGTGTGGGCTCTTGAAAGACTTGAAACGTCAATGCTTTTGTCTTTTGCGTGTGCCCATTGCCTCTTCTCCTTCTATACATGACGTTCTCGGAACAGGTTCAGCAAGTCTCGTCATGTCTTCCAAAACAGGGGATCTTTTATTGGAGTTGGAAGCTGAGAACGGGAGCGTTCGAGACAGTTGGGTGAGTGCGGCCGTGCTGTGTATGTGCGTATTTTTGAGATTGAGCCTGCATCGTGCAGTTACACCTATTAGGGAGGAGCAGACACTGCGTTGTAGAATCGTGGCACGAGCCTATCAACGCCTGGCTCGATGTATGGGGGTTCGACTAGGCCACACTTTTTGTTCTCCCGGGCACAGGCACAGCATTCGAAATTGAAAACGACCAGTGGTTTCCCAGAAATGGTTTTTGGCGACACAGAGAGCGAGCCACACAGAGATGAGGAACAAAGGATACCAAGCCTCGTACACCTTGAAGGCGAGGCAGAGGTTGTTATCAATGGGCGAAATGAAAGAGGGGTCCCCATCGTGCGGGACCAGGAACTCGTTCTACCGATATACCAGGTCCCCAAAAGTTCCCGACTGAAAACGAAGTAAAAATATTCTCTCTGAATGGGAGAATGCGAAAGTGAGAGAACGAGAACACACCCGTCATGGGGGGCTCCCAGATCGAAACCTCTTAGAAAGGACACACAGCAGTAGGTCATTTGACGATGGGGCAAATCGGTGGATTCTCCGCGTACAGAGCTTGAACGCATACCATACCGGTTGAAATGGCAAGCCAGCGACCTTGGCTTCTAGGATCAACACCAGTTTTCAGCCGCCGCAGCCCTATTGAGTTAAAGCCCGCCGCCCGGTGCATGGCTCTGAACCGGTTGGTGGCCACCGAGCATGCAAGAGTAGAGCCCTCGCCAGAGAAACCACCGTGCTTGTTTTGTAGCCTGACGAATGAGTTTACTGAGGGCGGTGCACCCAATCCTCGGACACGCAAAACTGCTGGTGCGTTTCACGACGCACCGCACTCGAAAGGATTGAAGTCGGATGGCGAGGCAGTGCCATGGCGTAGGTGGCGTTTTAGCTCAAACTAACGTAGAGCTGATGTCTGCAACCTCAGGTGGAATCGCTGCAGGCGGTGGCAGAGGATGTGCGGTTGAACCCGCAGGCGAGGATGGCGCAAAAGAGCGTAAAGGATAGAATGAAGGACCAGGCCCAGCGGCAGCGACACTTGGCGAAAAGAACGATCGAGATGCAGCAAACGAAGAAGGACGCCGAAGCACGCAAGGCTCGCTACTTGAAAGAGACGGGAGGGATGCAATACACTGCCTTGGCGATGGCAAATCGCTCTTAGAGACGCCCGCCTCGAGACCGTAAAAACAGGCACCTTCTCTAGCGGAGGGAGCAAAGTGTCGGGAAAATATCCCGTGTTTTCTAGAAGCATTCGTTTGAAGCAGCATTCGTTTGAAGCTTGATTTCCCTGTATTTCACTTTCTATTGCTTGGGTGACGGTGTTTATGTTCAACGTGCTTGTTTCTACGATGACTCCGAGGGAAAGGGTTGATGGTACGAAGTTTCTCTACATGACGTTGACACCAGGAGCAGGCCTAAGTACATGTTGCCGGTCAACAAGGGAGACAGGCATGGAGAGTAACGTCCGCAAGAGCTGTAGCTTTTCGTGATGCCTGCAGCACTTGGCGACCAGCCTACCGAACGGATGGAAAATTGGCGAATATAATCTACAAAGAGCCTCCGCTCCAAACTTTTTGTGTATCCGTGGTATTAGCGCGGCCGTTGATGTCATCGTATCGATGTTTTTATTCTTACGTTTGGCGTCCTCGATTGCCAGCACCAACCGGCATGGAAAAATTGACGGGAAAACGCTTGTCATGCCGAGAGCACCTGAAACGCTACTCGGCCAACCTACGTGTTGGTCGGTCAGCACACAGACGCGTGCTTGTTCTTAGCGCCGACTTCTTGCCCATGAACGCTTATTTGTGCACACTTGGTTGCGCATGGTTCAAGACTGCCTCCAGTGCGTGACTGTTCACAACGGCCTCCTGAAAAACAACAGCGTACCGGGTGTTGGGAGACTTTTCTCCCAAGCAGGGTTTTCTCGTTCTGTCTAACAAATTGCATAGACACGATGTGCCTACGCAGACACTCCCTCTGCATGCCCCGTTTCGTTCAACACAGAGCCAGGTACATCGATTACCCGGCTGTTGGACTTGCAAGGCCGTCCTCTAGCCTATGCATGACGCGCCGAGCCTCGTCCTCGATGCGATAGAGATATCTCAGCCGCACTGCCGCGTCGGAGAGCTCGTCCTTGCCGCCGCCCGCTTTCAACACCTCGTCCATACCGCTCAAGCACTCTTCGACCGCTACGCTTGTTTCGGACAAAATAGCCTCCGCTTCTTCCTTGGACGAACACCCCTCCAAGGCTTCCCTCGTCTCCATCACCTCCATCAAGAAGTCCATAGGGACAGACGTCCTGTCGTCTTCCCCCTCTTCTTCCAGCGCCGTCGATCCCAGTAGACGCATCTGCGGGAGGGATGCCCAAGACCGCGTAATATTAGCCCTGGTCGACTCTTGTCGATAGATATGTTCCTGTTGGCACCCCACTTACCCATGGCCTTCGGGATTTGTGAACAGGGTCCGTGAGGCCGACAACACTTCGCAGCTGCGGTAAAATGTGGATGGTTTTGTGGTGAGAGCCAGACAGCAGTGCAACAGCATGGCCCGCGAATGTGCCAGGCTGAAACCAGGTCTGATGTGAGAACACCTATTTAGTTCAAAAGTGGACATCCGGCTTGACGTACAAACCAAACATGGGCGTACTTGACCTGTAGTTGTTTTCAACACTACAACATGTGCGTGATCCGACTTCGATCAGATTGATCGGAGGCCTTACCAGATACTTGACGCGCGCCATAGGTTGCACAAGAGTCTGGTACGCCTTGTTCGCCGTCGCTGAGTTCGCAGCTGATATTTCTCGCTCATCTTCGCTCTTGCTGGCGTAAAGGTCCTGAAAAATCCGCCAAGGATCAAAACGCAGGTAAGGTACGACCAAAGAAAATGTTGGTGCCTTAGCTCAACCACCTTCAACCTATTCAACCCGTGAGGCAAAACACGCGCACACCCCGACGCCAGCTGCCCTCGCCACACAAGACACCCAGCGGAGAGCCGTTCACTCACAAACGTACAACCGTTTGGACTTCGGCATATTATGTGGTTTTGGCAGGTTACATACACAACAATGCACATGGTTTCTACGTGAGTAAATGTGAACCTATAGAACGATGACATCACAAGCGACTTCCTGCTGCGGTCACAAAAGGATGAGCTGCGGCAGGCGTTGCTGTAACAAGTACTCAGCAGGTGTGCTCACCGGATGGAAAGCGCGTTGCATGTTCTTGAACCGCATTTCGACTTCCTTGAGCCCCAAGAACACAGACGGAGTGCACTGGAACAACTCGAAGTAGTCCAGTCGCTCGTCCAGGAGCTGGATCACGCCGCATTTGCAGAAGTGCTCTCGCCAGCTTGTCTCCAAGCCGCACTTCCAGCAGTTGTTGCTGTTGTTGTTGACGTCACCTGTCTTTTGGGTAGAAAGACGTCGTCCCTCGAGTAGGCGCTTGCGAGACGCGTGTTCGTTTAAAGCGATACTCGTACCAGGAGCATCACCAGGTCGTACGCAACGCCGGAGCACGGAGTGCGATCTTCTTGACGGAGGAGACGGAAGCACGTGCTGTATCGAAGGCTGCCTGGAGAATGCGGCGTAACTCGATTGCAGCAGTTGTTTTGGCGGCAGCAATTCGCCATCCACGTAACGACGCGTCCCTGCAAGCGTACGCCAGGCAGGCCTTATCGATGGAAGGTGGCGTACGAAAGACATGGTTGTGTGCCGCAGCGCCCTCTGTGCCAACATCTGCTAGCTGTATGATGCAGCGTGAATGCGATCTCCGGTCGGGGGGACCCGCTAATGTACCGTAGAACGCATAAACAAGGAAGGGTATGATTACGTGGCCCGCCGGCAACACACAGCCGCAGCAGCAGTAGCACACACAAACACAAACCACACCCCACCGCAGTACCTGACACCGCGAGAATTACTATACACGGCGTGAACCATGGCGCTGATAAGTGGTCTATTTCACGAGGGCGAAGCTAAAACTAGGTTGGCAGAAGAACGCCGTGACCAAAAGTACGGCGGCGAACAGAAGGTCGACTCGATGATCGACTTGAGCGAGGAATCCATCCCAGGAGTCTTGATGAAGAAGATCGTCAGGCCAGGAAACGGGGAGCTACCTCCTGTGGGAAGCAGCGTGAGCCACTGGAGGACGAAGCTTCTAGAGCACGTGTCTCCCGTACTCAGGATTCGTGGTCTGATGTTTGGCATACGCGAAAGCATTAGATCTTCGGCGGAAAGAGGTTCTGCTCCGAACTGCGGGCTTGGTTCGGGCTGTTTGAGAAATGCTTCGCAGAAGTTCAGATGACCCAACTGCTGTAACACGCCTAGACAAAAATTGTAGCGCACGCGCCAGTATTGACTGCCGGTCGTAGACGCAGCTGAAGGCAACGGTCAGGAGTATCCAAGTGGGGAAAGAAATCTAAACTCTGCTTATTTTTTCCGCTCACAGGTGAGTGTACATTACACGGGAAAGCTCAAGGACGGCACCGAATTCGACACCAGCGCCGGTCGAGGTATGCATTACTGCTTGTAGGTCGAGCCTACAACAATGGTATCAACAGATAGGGCCCGCACGTAAGAACTTGGCAGCTAAGAACTTCGTGATCAACAATATCAAACATAAGAGCTTGAGCACCGTTTAAGCCCGGTTGGTTAACCCTCGAACAAGGAAGCAAGTAGTTTCAGTGTACAGTACAAAAATCGCATCCGCTCATTGGGCGAGGCTGTACAGTCCAGAGGGACGACTTGGTTTTAGACAGAAAAGCGTCCCCAAATGCATGGAGACATGGAGACACTTTCCATACTGAAGCCAAGTCATCAGATTTTTCCTGTTCTAGGCTGTTGTATGCAGATTCTACCAGCAAGGGCACACGCGGCTTGGGAGATAGGTTTGCAGCAAATCAGAGGCCGAGGAGAGGCATCACACAGTATACCTGTGACACAGCGTACCTCCTTCACACGTCAAGTACCAAGATTTCCACGCGCGTTTCAGACAGCGGAGGCTTTTGACGACTACGGTGCGATCAGCAGATATTTGTCCCCTAAGTGTCCCGTTTGGTCATCCAGTTCTAAAAGGGTGCCCCAGCACTGAAAACCTATTTAGCGGGCATTTGTTGCTCACACAAGAAAAACAAAAAAAAGCAGCCTCGGCCGAAACTACATGTAGATGCCCATAAGTGCAGGCGCTAAAACTGTACTGCAGGGGCACCTCGGGCAGGGTGCAGTTTCGATGAACAGCGAGCTCACGGTTTTTTAAGTCGCTCGATGACACCATACTAAATACGGTGCCTGTCCAGCAGCACTGGTTGGGGGCAGCATCAATGGTCGCTCGAGTGAGCGATTGGCCCAACGGCAGGAAGTTGTTTCTTTCCCGCTGCTCGCCGTTGAGTTCAGAGCCGGGTCTAACGGCGGTGAAGGAATTGCGAGGGAAGGAAGCCCCGCCATTCCTATCTCCCGGTCTATGTAGTCACAGCGTGAAAAAGCAGCACGGATGCTGCGCACGGTGCGCTTGAACCTCGTCGCCACTTCAAAGCTCAGAACCCACGAGTACATTCCCCCGCACACCTGAGTTTGAAGGTCGGCACGTTCAGGCAACAGCGACGGCAGTATTACTGCTTGCTGCAGGCAGACTTGTCCAGTACCTGAGAGGATACGGCGGGATAGGAACAGTGCGTTGAGTCTTCCTGATTGGTAGATCTAGGACGCGATTTGACCTAGGGGATGACAGCACTTAAAATGGTTACGTTTGCGTGTGCTGCGAACACCTCCGGCGGAGACTGCCAGCTGTCAGAGAAGACCGGAGATTTCGATGCCCTCTATTTCGTGACAGGGTGCGCACGCGGTCCAGCTGTGAGGACCTTATCCGGACGTCACCCTAAAACCTTGTCAACAACCTTTCATCGTGCACAGTAGTGGAGACTGCACGAATATTTTCGAACCTGCAATCGATCATTGAACACGACTCTCTCTGATTTGTCCGTGTAACTTCCAGGCCCAATAAAGTTTGCGCTGGGGAAAGGGGAAGTCATACGAGGTTGGGACTACGCCGTGTCGACGATGCAAAAGGGGGAGAGGGCAATCCTTACCGTGGGGCCGGAGTACGGGTATGGAGGAAGGGCGACGGGGCCGATACCTGCCAACGCTACCTTGACGTTTGAGATGGAGGTCATGGGGTGGGAAAAGGCCCCTGTCTTTCAGATTTACCAGTGGGCGGGGTTGATATTCATGATCGGTATCGTCATCTACGTGTTGTTCGTCGATGACGAGGGCGACATTTTGAGGAAAAGTCTCGAATCCTCTCGAGAGTTGTAAAGAACAAATCGTCTTGGCTTCCTTCGCGCTGTGGTGTTTTTGATGTGGGTGTGTCGATCATGTACGGTGTTCAGTCACTGAGCAAGCCCATGCACCGTACGTGCTTTTTCGTGTCGCAGTACTATGTCACGGGCGGTTAGGGTTCGGCAGGGCATGAACCGTAGCAAGCATCGCTCTCTACGTAGACTGCTTGTGGTCATGCTGGCAAAGTAGTGTTTGCTTTGTGTACAGATCTACAGCTCCCCTCGTGGCGTAAGCCAGGGTCGTCTGTTGTGTACATGTAGAGCTCGTGGCCTTGTACCTTTACACGCGGAATGTAAATTTACTATTTTCCCCCCGATACGGGATGCTGTGCGGTCGGGAGATCCAGCCTCCCATGCACTCGTTGTTGGTTCTTGGGCAGGCGGGCGCCGATAGCGAAGCAAACGATTGTCCAAAGGTCGGGTGGCCATCGGAAAATTTACCACCCCAGTTGTTTTTGATGGTTGGGCCTGTTTAAGAAGACAGACATCGTCGGGGTGTCGTAGTGTCAAAATCTTCTGCGGTGTAATTTGTTGAACCGCTTGCACGAAGCTTGTCAATGCTGGCTGCTCGAACCCGCACGGGCACGTGTTCCTTTCGCCAATCAGAAACAAACCATGCGCGGCGCTGACTTCTATTATTGCTTGTCTCCTGCGCGGGCGTGCTCAAACGGAGGCTGCAAATTGTCTAGAACGAGTATATGCAGGCGAGCTGTTCCCACCGGCCAACGTAGGTAGGTATGTTTGACGCTCTCACTCCCCGATAGACGAATTCAGTGCGTATCGCAGAGGAGTGCGTTTTCTGCTTATTGAAAATGCTTTTCGTCCCGCGCTGCCCTCAGCGATATGATTTTTCACTGTTTTGGAGATAGTGGACATGCGTGCCTGTAGTAAACCACCGGATGGACTCTGTCTTCCGAACCACGGGACAAGAAAGTAAAGTGCTTTCCGAGAATCTGCGGGTCTGAAGCTGTTCGGGAGAGACAAACCAAAAGCAACGTCTCTGCGTGTCCACTCAAGAACATATGGTGCACATACAGATATGCACACGAAGCCTTGCCACAGCAACTGAGGTCTTGATCAGCCATTGAACTTGCATATACACTCGTAAAACGATCTGCATCCATTTTACGGATTGGTGAGAGTCTCACGCAGATGGCGGAAGAAGCGCAAAAAAATATTTCTTCTCTATTTTAGGTTTAGAAGCAAGGAAGGGATTTTTTTGTGATCACAATCACCTGTCATCATTGAACGAACATGGTTTCCCCATCATAACACGGACGCACATTGTAGGGAGACCAGTTATTTTCTGGTGAGGGCGAGAACCCGCGCGTTTTTTCATTGTCTCGTGGCAAAAGTGCCACGCAATTTTCTTGTGAGATGTATTTGGCTGGCACATACTGCTTGTAGTGTGAATGTCACCTCGGACTGTCGTAGATTGTGACGTCAGATGACCTGTCGGAGATCTACCTTCGGGGTGTTGCCACAGATAGAGTCAGTGTATGATCGACGCTGAACCTTGCTGCAGCAGGCTCGCTCCCCCCTGACTCACAACTCTACCCGTTCCGTACCCATTCGGCCTCTCCACAAGAGGTTGAACCGGTGTGTCTCCACACCACACATCCTAAAGGAACTTGAGCCACACGCGAACCTGGAGACCTACGTCTCACAGTAGTGGGCTTTTCCTTTTGACGCAGGCAGCCGGACGGATTGGGAAGTAACTTTTTTTCCCGATCAGATAGATGTATGTGCTTGGCCGCGGTAGGGTTTCTTTTCTGATACCTCACTGCTGCTGATATTATAGATTACGACAGGCAAGTTTCAACAGGCCGCCCAGAGACATTCCTACAGCAATAGTAGTTAATGCGTTGAGATGGTCTTTATTGCCACCACCCCTACTACGCATAATACCGATACTGCCTGTAGATTTACGTGTCCCCGCCAGTTTGGATCCATCCATCACATCCGTCTACCTTTAGACGCGAACTAGAACGAAAACATTGTACGCACGGAGTGATGCGGTTACCCAGGTACTACACACGACGTCGCGATACCGATCGCTCACTGGGGGAGCTTGGTTATTGTTTCATTTCCCGCGGTGATCCCTGATCCTGCATCTTTGGAGATGATCAGGGTTTCCACATATACACAGCATACGTACATGCCGAATATATCCGCCCCCCCCACCCCAACCAAGTTCCGCCGCACATTTTGACGCACAACGCACAACCACAGAGTATTTGAGAGCGGCAACGCTGTGTACCATGCGTTGTAGACTGGCCAGCATTAGGAGGAATTTGTCATCTCGCCCTAGCCCCAATCCAAAGCTAATTGTTGAGGCTGAATGCTCTTGGACCAAGGTAAGTTTCCCTCGCCCCGAATGTGTGACATGGATGGAAATGAAGGTGAAATCGAGGTTGGGCCGCGTTTTGGTGTGCAGATCAACGCTATTGAGCTTCAGTGCAGTGCACTACATCAGTACATCTCGAGAGACGTATTAGCAGTGTGTATGGAATCTTCTGCATGTGCACTGCTATCGACCTATGTCTTTGTCTTTCTGCCTGAGCAATTCTGTGTTGTTTTACGCTACGGCCTATAGCTTCCCCCTACATCTATGGCACTGGCTATACGTTGTAGTGTAGGTCGAAGGTTCTGAGAGAGCCTACCCGCTTGCCTGGTTCGTCAAGTGCTCGTCAATAGGCAGGGTGCCAACAATCCGAGAGAAATGACTAGGACAGGTCTCGTCAAGAGCTTTGTCAAGTTGTGACGTGTCGGTATCGGGACTCCCGTCTCCCCTCTCTGTTGTGTTAAAGAATGGCCTTACCGTATATGACACAAGATAACACACCCCCTTGGCCGATTTTCAAAGCTCGATTTCTCAACAGCAGGAAGAGTCACAGCGCCGAAAACGGCGGCGTTGGAACCGTCTCGTCGAGAGCTGTTCGAAAACGTATTGTTTCATTTATGCATCCTCTTCGTCGTGGAGTAATCGAGCTTTGAAAATCGGTCCAGGGGGTGTGTTATCTTGTGTCATATACGGTATATTAGACTACCTACGTGCAGTCAGCGACTCACGAATAATGTTTTTTATGGTGCAGTAGTCTAACCTTTTTTTATCATGTTGGTGGTAACCCAGCCTCGCAAATCAATCGGCTGATAGCAATCACTGCCCCCACAGCAGCTATAACAGCTCGCCGGATCACCAATAAATCCCACCCACTGCCTTCGCTCCCTTCGGTCAGCAGGTTGTCGCGCAGGTATCAAGGCACGGAAGAACGTGCCTGGCAATCGCCGATGACAACACTCCAGGGCAAGCAGCGGGAAGATGCCTGTTCGAACTGCGAAAGGTGCGAAAACGGTTAGCCCAACAATGGCAGCCTTGTTTGTGCGAAATGATGTGTAAGGGGTAGATGGCTTTTTCTCCATGAGCGGTGTTGCGAAAAGGTCTGCACTACGTCTGAACTCCCTACTCCCTCTGCAATGTTTTCCTGGCGAAGCTACAGGGCGCATTTGGTTTGTTGGGCTTGAAGTTTTCGGGGCGGCGTCCATCTTTCACTACTGCAAAAAGACCGACAGGCATTCATAGTCAGGGCTGTGTCGATGGGCGTCATGACCTCCCTGACGGCTTGTGGGGCATGAACTCCGAGAGGCGACGTTGCAAGAAGAGTTAGCTCGATGTGGCGTTCGCTTCGTTTCGTACGTCTTAGGCTAAACAATGTTTGCATTGATGCTGCCTACACGTTGCCATCCGCAGGCTGGCATCAACTGCGCGATGTTCACGGGTCGGGGCGCCTACCCTACCGCCGATGGCATAGACGAGGCACGAGAGATGGCTAGGAGGATCGGGGCGACGTGCATCGTAAGCGTTGGGCGCGGGGGGACAATAGATACTGCCAAGGCCGCAGCAAGGCTGCACTCTAGCAGGTAGGCAGATGATAAAATATTGCTGTTCGGAGTGATTGAAATTGGGACAGCAGAAGCAGCTGCAGCGGGCACTTAAATGTTTCGCCCTCGCCACAAAATGGGCACTGTGTCAAACGATTGGTATGATGCCTTCACTTGCTGTTACACGCTTGGACTTGTCGTTTTTCTCTCTCTCAGCTCTAGGCAGAATAAGGTCTACGCTGCGGGTCGACTTCCCATGATGTACTGCCACAACCCGCTCAACCAACAGCTTATCACAACAATAACAGTGGGACGACACGACAATTCCGACACATTCACGTTTTTTTTATTCTCTAGCTACTGTTCCGGGTTGGTCAAATCTCTTCCTTGTTCCTACAGCGGCGGGTGCAAGCAATTCTTGACGAGCCCCGGTGGCGTGCTCATGGGCGAGGGCGGTAACAGCAAGCCCCGAACACCTGCCGGAAACGCGTTGCCGCTTGTGGCGATACCGACCTCCGCTGGTGCAGGGGCCGCCGCGAACGGGCGGTGTTTGGTTTGGCACCCGGATGACGAGGTGCTGGTGCCGCTGGCTGAGGAGGGGGAGTCCCTGACGGTGAGCCTGGGGTATAAAGTTGTGCCGACAGATCCAAGTTTTCTCTTGCGTAGGCGAACCATGCGCGAAAACACCGCGATGTCGACCTTGATGTTGTTTTGATACCTACCTCTTCGAGCGGCGGCGTACATGACGCAGAACTGGCTGTTTGCCTGTGCTGCGACGATCGAAAAGGCCCACGGCTCAGCATATAGCACAACTGCAACGTGCAAACGGGATGGCCCTTTCCCGCAAAAACTATAACACTCCTCATTGGCCAACAACCATCGTGTCCTGCAGGCCACGCTCCAAAGCGACGGCGACGACGGCACACGCATCTATACGCGCTCGCATCACCACCCCCGTTTTCCGCATGCCACAGCGCAGCATATCATGACTGCAACATGCAAAGGGGGATGCTCTTTCCCGCAAAAAGTAGAATACTCCTCTCTCGCCGACACCCACCACGTCCTTTAGGTCATGCACCAGAAGTGACAAATATGACGACTGCACAGGCATCTATACGCGCTCGCATCACCGCCCGTACGCGCCCAGGTAGCTCTGGTGGACCCTATCCTCTGCACCTCGCTGAGCAAGACGCAGACGGCGGCCATGGCGCTGACGGCGCTCTCCGCCTGCGTCGATGCCTTGCTAGCAAGGGAGTTGGCCCTGGCCTCTGGCACACCGCTGCAGAACGGCGACGCGCTCCTCGATCTCGGGAGGCGCGGCATCGGCGCGGTGGCGGAGGGCTTGCCGGTGGCCCTGGCGGACGGCAAGAACAAGGTGGCGAGAGAGCTGCTGGCAATCGGCAGCGTGTGTGCGGGAGAGCTCGCTGCCGCCACTCCGGCCCCACCAACTCAGGTACAGGCGCCGCTGAGACCTTCTTAAGTCGTCTGACAGTAAGAATACCCGCGGTTGAACCTGGTGTGGTGTGGCACGGCCCGCGGTGCAGACTCGCCATTGAGAAACCACGTTGGGGCGGTCATGCGAGATGAGAAAGGGCGAGACGCGAGTTCTTTTCCCCTGCAATGTGCGGTGCTAGGTATGTGCCTGTAGACGCAGTACAATTCCGCGAGTGCAAGGCACCTTGTGTGTGTTAAGACCTGCGGGTATGTTGTATTCCTAAACGAAGAAGCAAACATTCACGTTTGTCCTTGGAGGTCAAACAGGAGAGCTGGTTGCGAACCTGCTCCGTTTCCGACTTCCCCGAAGGAGCTCAGCACGTTTGGTTGGGCAAGGAGCGTTGATTTTTGTTGATTCGACCTAGCAATATAAGATTTTTCATCAATCGCCTTCCACCCCAACCGGCTTCCTCCGCATCTCAGCTCGTGGCTCGAGCAACTGGTTCGTTGCTGGGGCGGCATAGTTACCCTTCGGTCTGCGCGATGGTCTTTCCCCATGTTGTCGGGGACATGTTGAGCCAGGCGAGCTCCTTCTCCGGAGATGCTCAAGCTGCGGAGGCCATCGAGCGAGGTGAGTCGCGAGCGAATATCCGTCCGAAGAGGCTCTCAGTTCTTGACCCTGAAAACATATTTAGTCTTTTTGCCCACGATTTTTTTTGCGTCTGCTTCAGGTGAGCCGTTCATTATTGCGCCCTTGACCACCCTAGAGTAAGAGCGTTAAAGAACGGGCAGGTGAATCACAGCAAACGTTTGCTACAGCAGTATAATAGTACCATTCTTCCTAGATCGGCCACGATTGGATTTTTCCCTGCTGTGCCTTATCCTTGAGCGCATTGCGCAAATCTCAACTAGATCTAGTTGGAAACCCCAAAACTTCTGGCACTTTCGAGTGATCCCCCTGGAAAAAAGACCCCGCACGATTGATCCTGCACAAGCTTTGTTTCGCTTTTTGTTTTTCTCCTGTCCCTTCTTATTTTATAGCTCTTTCGCTATCGGCGAGCCTCTTTCTAGGAGATGGCAACGATGGCCAGGCGCTCATGTCTTGGCTAGAGGCGCAGGAGCACGAGTTGTTGGATTTCGGTAGCTTGTCTTCGGTGGACTCCACCATCACGGCCAAGGACGTCGCGACCAACATCGACATGTTGCTGGCGATTGAAGAAGACACTGACGCGGCGGATAGAGTGTGGAGTGCGGGCGGTACCGCGGATATGGCCGACCTTGTCGTTGGCTGATGAATCTTTTGAGAGAAATTTCTTCCACTTGCAGTATTTTATGGTATGAAAACGTGTCTTTCGTGCGTGTACAGGACAATGAACGTGCGACTTTTGCCAACTCCCTGGACCATGAAAAATTGTGAATCTTCAAAGGGATGTGCAGACTGCAGTGGTAAGGTTGCAGCACCAAAGTCGAGTCAGGCCTTGGTAGATAAGCCGAAATCAAACCGTTAGATTAGTAAGCGCAGACTATGTACGTAGTCTAAATGGTTTGATTTCGGCTTCTTTTCAATGTTTGGATGGATAGCAGCTCTGGCGAGGGCAGTCACCCTCCTCGGAAAGTGTCGGGGCATGCGAACCTGCGAACCCACGACTAACTTTTTTAAATCCGAAATCAAACCACTACAGACAAAGGTCAGCGCTGACTACAGCAGTAGTCTTTTGGTTCGGCTTCCGACAGCCTCCAATACTACGGGGATCGGTCCCTGCAGCGTGCGGTATTATATTCCCATCTTCCGCTGTCGAGTATGGAGACAGCAACGAAGGGTGACTCGATGCGGTAGACATCACATCTTGCACAAGCCCCGCCTATTGAACTTTTCGCAACGTTCGTTTGAATCAAGGAGGGATGTGGTCAACATGTAGTCTATGGCAAGAGGTACGGGGATTGTTGTGCGTATGTATCCGTACCATAATATCTTTTCTCGGCACGCCCTATCCCTCGCAGGAAGTACGACAGCGAGCCCAACGCTGCCTCTAGTTGCAACACCCTCTCCGTACGGCAGAACACAGGACACACGCACACCAGCTTGTGTTGTTGTACGCGTGCACACACAACGAAAGATTAACACCCACAACATCACATATGATACAGTACGGTGGTACCATTTCCGCCATTTTTGAAGCAGTTTGCATAAACGAGGGGGCTCCGGTGTCGTCGAAAGATATGGGCTACATACCCATATTTTTTGGTGACCCCACGCCGTAACAGAACTCACCGCCTGCTGAAGCTGCTGCTGCCGCTTAGCTGCTTTGCTCATCGAACAGCAGCGCAACGTGCGCGCTACTTAGGGCCAAGGGGGCAGCCAGAGAGAAGAGAGATGGCGCACAGTCGACGGCGGTCGATGCGACCCGAAGCTGGCCTGGAATCTCTGCTCCACTATCAGCCTACACATTCTTCCGTCGAAGATAACATGAAGGAGGCAGTGCACATGCTCGATCTGCTCCCTCCGGACCAGCGCAAGGGATTTCTTCGTCTGTTCGGGCAGTTCGTCCAGCAGCGGCAAAAGCCCGCCCTGGAGTGGGCAAGGCTGGAGCCCCCACCCAGGGAGGCAATGGTTCAGGCGACGGATATTCCGCCGTGCCCGAAGGACCAGGCCTTGCGCCACGAGCTGCTGGACAAGATGGTCATTCTCAAGCTGAACGGTGAGAGACTTGGATGCAAGATGATGAGGGCCAGCACACACTACTACTGCTGTACACCCAGCGCGCACCTTCTATATACACACGCTTGACTGCCAAGCTTGGTGAAACCTAAGATCGGCGTTTTTTTCATTCGCGAGAACGGCTCGTTTGTTTCCTGCAAGCAGTTGCAATGGAAAGCGTATTAGCGCATCCCGCCACCAACTGGAACTCTGGCAGCAGAAGTCAGTTCAGTCAGTCACGTTCCTGCCTACAATCCCTCCCTGTGATCGGCATCGAGAGTCGTTTACAACAAACAGCCCATGAGCGGTGTGCGGCAAGATAAGATCCCTTTCCAAGCGTAGCAGCAGACGGCGGTGCGTGCAGCAGCAGTGCTCAAAGCGCCGTCGTGGTGCCGCCCTGTTGCCCTGTCGATACCACAGCCGGCCTGCTTTCGGTCCGCATGTTGTCGATGGTATGTACGTGTGAGATATATGGAAGAAGTACTTGCTTTGCGGTGTTTTTCTCGGTGTTCTTCTCCTCCTCCTGTCCCGGGGAACTTCAACGCGGTACGCATTAGATATTGCGTGTATCACACATACGCGCCAGTGCCCTAGAGACCTGTAGAGACGTCCAAACGCCGCACCCCAACGCCTCAACATCAACCATGGTTGATGTTGTTGTCGGTTAGCAACGTTGTTCCCCCGTGTGCAACGGGCTCCTTCTCGCACTTTCGTACAAGTGTTCGCCAGGTCCGTTAGACGAGAACAAAGGAGAACACACGATTTGACACTCAGTACAACGCATTTGTACTGCCGTTTGGGACAAAAACCTCCCCGCCAACGGATTGCTTACATTAACGAGGACCCGCGGCACGTGCTGTAGTCAGGCGAACCGCGTTCGTTCACATCGTTTGCTGCGGGGTATTCAAAAAAGAAGAATGTGGCGTGCATGTGTGTTATATCCTCTCCATGTAGAGGAGAAAAGAACGAGTTACAGAAACGTGGCCTGGTACTGAATACCGCCGAAGTTTTATCGCTTCAACAGCGAGGCACCGACTGACACCCATCGTCATTCCAGCAAGCTGTCTACCAAAGCCGACGCAGACGCTGCGGTGGATTGCCCCAGCAGAATTGCGCGAGGAGGGGTGATACGCATGCAGATATCCCCTTCTAAAGATGTTTTTTTGACACCGTCGCTGCCACCACCGCCGAATCAGCGCGAAGGGCTCAAAACTTACCTCGGTCAAGAATTGTCCCCGCCAGGCGTCAGCGAACGTTCCATTGCTGTTCAAGTGCTCAACACGCACCCAGAACTCGTTGTCTGTCTCGGGTAGGCAGTGTTATTTTCACAGCCAATACCATCACATATGTCTACAATAGTATTCTCGAACATTATCGATTTGGCCTTGCATCGCGATGAAGAGTCCAGGGTGAAAAACGAAAAAACGCTACGGAGGTCGTGAGAGTATGACCGCCGAGTGATTGTCTCCGCTAGTGGTCGCGTCAGAGAGAGAAAGGTGGCGAGAGCTAGGTGGCCGTATGTAGGCCTTGCGAAAGACTTGTCTCTGCCTCGCCCTTAGCGACGGCCCCAACGAAGGCTGACGCGAGTCAGCGTTCCGTTCGACAACATCCACCCGCGCTGCTGCCGTAGAGTCGTGCACATAAGGAATGTTGCTGAACACAGCTAGTAAATGTGACTTGCTGTTACGTACGCCCTCGTTCCACCAATCAAATCAATTTGGTCGCGTTTTTTAATTGTTTTCGGTAGGCGGGCTCGGGACGAGCATGGGTTGCACGTGGCCCAAGTCGGCGATAGAGGTGCGGAACGACCTCTCTTTCTTGGACTTGACGGTGCGACAGGTGGAATACCTCAACAGCATGTACGGAGTGGGTGAGTCACCACCACGACGAAGGAGCTATGATACTTGGGACAATCGTTTTGCCCGTCCAAAGAAGAGAGTGAGCTTCTCGAAAGACGATTCGTTCCGGGAAACAGACCCGCTCTCTAGTGAGTCAGTCCTATGTCGTACATTTTGTTTTGGTTGCGCACATTCATCCTCCAATCTTGCAGCGGCCGCTGTGTTTGCGATTTCCGCCAATGCGGTCGATGTTCCGTGCATTCAGGTGTTTCTGGGTGAATCGGTCGTAACGTGCGTGTCTTCTTGTCGCCCCCTCTGGCCTTATTTGCGCAATTAACTTGGCGACCCCGATGGCGGGCGCCGGGCCGACCATCACTGCTGGCGCCGCGGCCGCGTGGTGTGGTGTGTGTCGGAGCAGACGTTCCCTTGGTGCTTCTGGACTCTTTCAAGACGCACGAGACCACCGCGAAGATCATCCGGAAGTACCGCATGCACAACCTGACCATCCACACCTTCATGCAGAGCTGCCACCCCAGAATTATCAAGGCGAGTACGCATATGCGTCTCCAACTTGTGGCGCGCCGCGACGGTGGGACGGATCGCAGCATTTTCGTCCCGATGTTGCTAGCTAGTTGTGCTTCGTGGACGGGACTGCTGTTCATGATGCATCCGCCCTACCCGTATCACGAGCTCTGGCGTTTAACTTCTCCAATACGGGAGTGATGGGTTGGCAACACGGAATGATACACGTGTCGGACTTTTGTCTTGTTGATAAATTACCCTGCTGGGGCAGGGCTGCCTCCAGTCCTCCGCTCATTTTTTTTGTCATCGCCACGGATGTTAAGAAAATATTTAGTCTTGGTTACAAGGTGACAAAAAGCGTCTCGAAGGTCGTCAAGGCAACCGTCGACACCTGTCATACCGACGACTTGAAACGCTATGCCACGCGGTTTGTGGTACAAGGGGGGGGCGAGATGCTTGCGTTGTCCAGTACAAAAGAGGGAACAACAAAAGTGTTCTTCTGAGACGTCGCCGGGACTAGCTTCATGTCGGGGGCAGCAGAGCAGGGGTGTGTGGATACTGCGGCGAATGGACGGGCTTCTTCCGCCGAAGAGCACGGAAGGAAGGAGCACAAGCCATGTGATCTATGCGTAAAGAAAGGCGTTCCTGTCGTTGATCGTGCGGGACGATTGTGCCCCGGACGCCGGGCAAGCCCGCCCCTTCCCCCCCCATGATTATTTTTGGTACACTGCGGTGCCCCCCCCTTAAATCTCGCGCGCTGGCGGCCTGCTTGCCGTGGCGTCGGCGAGAAAGGTTCTTTTGCGGTGACCCCGTTTTTCCCTCGCCCGCTGCGCGCGCGGCGTCTCTGCTCTCGTGTCGTGTGGTACCGTCCTTCGTCCTCTCCGACAGGACACTCTGCAGCCGATGCCTTCGGGGCCGTTCGGGGAATCCCCCCCATCGGAGTGGTATCCTCCAGGGCACGGGGACGTGTACTACTCGCTGTACGCCTCGGGCCTCCTGGAAAACCTCATCAACCAGGTTAGCTGACCGCCTTCGCGACGGCATTAAGCGTCAATATGCGACACAGAGAGGCGGAGTTTGTCGTAGTACTAATCCCAACCCGTAACCCCACTCAAACCAAGCTAGTATCCTCTGGAAGGCTTACTATTAGTACTGCCGTGGGCGCGGATGGACGTGTGCTGTTTTTGTCGCGTGGCTGTCGGAGTTGTGTGTGTGTTAGTGTGGCACCAACCAATGTGGCGAGCGTCAAGAACGCATACGCGCGCCCGAGCCACGTAGGCAGTCCTGTGTGCGTCCTGAATGTACAAGCGGCAGACGTGTTGTGGGATGTGCGATTCCAACAGCGGTGCAAGCGGGCCACGGCCAGCCTCTTTTGGGGCTTTTACCGTCTGTAGTACTGCCACGTGCGTACGGCGTGGCTTGCACCCAGATTTCGTTGCTCCACCCTACCCCCATCGCTACTACACCTCCCCCTTGTATGCCTCCGCTACCTGAAAAGCACCCTTGATTCTCCTTGATTCCTTGTACGTTCATCGTTCATGCTGTGAGCACGCGAGAGTTCCTGCTGTGTGGTTTGGCTTTCCTTTCCTTTGCGACCACCGTTGCGGCTGCCTATTACGTGCATGTTTGTGCATCTTTCTTGTGTGATGGAAGGGATGCTGCCGGTTTGTGTCGCTTGGTTCTCCCGTTCCTGCTACAAAACACAGCCGGCCTCTGGTACGAGTTTTAGGTTGTACCATTTCTCAACAACGTATTTCTTACAATACCGAAAACACGCTCAACAGCTGGCCAATGACAGGGTGTCAGGATAAGCGGGACGAAAACCCCTCGACGTCTGTGTGGGTGTAGGTGTCTTCCATCATTACTGTAGACCGCGCCAAACGGCCGACCAAGAAAAGACGTCAGTCTTGGTGCAGCCAACAACGGAGAAACGCTTCTAAGGTCATGATCTAGGGTTTTCCTCCGGACTGAAGACAGAAACGGTGTGTGTGTGTCGCTTTTTTCAGCAACGACCGCGCCAACCGGCAGACGCACGAGACGCTAACCGGCTGACCAACGAATAAATCTTTAGGGCAAGGAGTACATCTTCATCAGCAACGTGGACAACCTCGGGGCCACGGTGGACCTGGACATGCTGTACCACATCTTCGACCAGGAGGCCGAGTTCGCCGTGGAGGCCATCGAGCGCACGAGAGCCGACCTGACGGGCGGGCTGGTGGTGGGGTACGGGGGCAAGCCCAAGGTGGTGGAGCTGAGCACGGTGCCGACGGAGCGAAGAGACCAGTTCGTCAAGAAGTTCAACCTCTTCAACACCAACAACATGTGAGCTGCTGCCGGGCGAACGCAAAGTGCCATGGAACCCCCCCTCCTTACACCTTTGGCAAAGCAAGAAGGAACGATTGGCCATCGGCGATCGGTCCTGTGGGAACAACGCTCCGTCCTCTCGAGAACGTGTGGTCAATGGTATATGAGCACGAAGGCATGCGAAATACGCCCCCCCCGTATGTGTTGTTTGTTTGGAGGTACGTAGCGAGGACGTGAGTATGTGAACGAGAGCGCCGTCTTCGGTATGTAGATGGAAATGAAAGTGGCCGGTTTACCCCGCCCCACCCCCTGCCTCGTGTGTCGCTGTCCGGGAGAGAGCGTTGTCGCAGGACGTCGTCGCAAGACGTCGTGTTTTTGAGTATTTTTGGCTACAAATACGCGCCCGCTCGTGCCGATCACTGCTGTCTCATTGTTTTTCTGTCGGGAGGTGGGGGGAGGGGCGGGGCGATCGGTCGCAGCTGCTGCTGCTCCACGTAGTTCACACGTTTGTCTGTGGAGGGCTTGGGCGATCGGTCGTAACTGCTGCTGCTCCACGTAGTTTACACCTTTGTCTGCTCGTGCCGTGCACCCGATGCATTAACCGTTTCCGTTCCCGTGTTCCTCTCCGTTGCGGCTGTTACCTTACACGGCCGTGGTGTTCGTAGATGGGCAAACCTGCGCGCGCTGCAACGACTAGTCGCGAAGGAGGAGATGTCGTTGGAGGTGAACGTGAGGGAGAGGCAGGTCAGCGGGTTGAAGACCATACAGCTGGAGACGTGCGGGGCTAGCGCGATCCAGTGTTTCGACAAGGTACTACAGTGTACACCAGGTTTCAGTATTGCAGGAACACTGCTGAATCCAATGTGGTATGCCGTTTGCCACCTGATGGTGGGTGGGGATATGCTTCAGTGTTTTTCTGTTTCCGTCCCTCATCATGCTTATGACGCCACCAATTCATCACTGGTGCCGGATGCTTCTTGTGTCTTCTTGCTTCAGTGCGAAAGCTGTAGATTTTGCTTCATACACAAACGTTTTTCTCTCGCACCTGCTAAGTTAACGTGTATTCCCTCTTGACAAACTTGCGTTCTGTATGGGAGGCTAAGGTACGCCTTTGGAATGTAGACCTACGGGTTTGGGGGCTAGGCCTGAACAGGTGCTTTTCTGCACAATGAATGTTGTGTCTACGAAACCGGTTGTTCCGTAGCGGCTATCGTTTTTTTTCGGACACAAGAACATTACTCCGGAACGCGACCGTGTTGAGGGCGTCCAACGAGAAAGACATGAGCCCCCTTTCCATCCCGTCCCGCCCCCTTTCCGTCCCTTTCCGTCTCGTCTCGCTCCCTTCCGTCCCGTCCCCATCCCGTTCCGTCCCACTTCGTCCCGTCCCGTTCCCTTTCCGTCCCTATCCGCCTCGTTCCTTCTCTTGACGCCAGGTGATGGCCATCGTCGTAAATCGAGCCCGATATTTACCCGTCAAGTCGACGTCGGACCTCTTCCTGGTCCAGTCCAACCTGTACGGGGTGAGGCACGGGAGCCTCGTCATGTCGGCGGAGCGGCCGGACGGCAGCACCCCGCTGATAAAGCTCGGGAGGGAGTTCACCTCCGTTGAGGACTACTTACGGAGGATACCACACGGCGTGCCCACCATCACGCAGCTTGACCACCTGACGGTGGCGGGGGACGTCATGTTCGGGGAGAACGTGACACTAAAGGCGGGTGATGCATTTTTTTCCCATGGATGTTGTGTCTCATGCTCGTTGGCTGTGTTCCGCTCTTTTTTCTTAGAGCGCTTTCCCCCTGATTTTTCTGCGGAACGTATGTATACACGAGGTTTTTGTGCGCGCATTAGTGCGTTGCGTGTTGGGGAGGGGCTTGCGCCGCGTGGGGCTGCCGCCGCTCTAGCGATCGCCGGTGGGCACTTTGCGTGGGAAAGTTAACCTATCCTCGAGCCAACAGCTGTGGTTTTTGCAGCATGATAGTGCAGCATGGCGCATACACAGACTCCGCCTCAGGCGATAGAGTAGCTCGAGCTTGAAAGAATGTTGCCGGGAGAGACCACGCGGCTGCCAACTCTCTAGCTCTCACGTGATTCACGTGCGCCGCCTTTTATTGTACCCTTGGTTGCTTCATTTCCCGTCGTCACCATCATGGCCGAGTCATTCGCCGACCTCCAATTTGTTTTTTTTAACAAAAATGTAACAAAATCTGCAAACCACTGCAACAAAAGAATGAAGTTTTGTTTCTGTATATCTTTATTGTGTTTTTTGGACCACTAGTCATCTCTTCCATACATGAGAAAGAGTCCGGGATTAGGTTGGCAACGCATTCATGGCGTGTCTGTTTTTATGTCCAATTGTTTTTGTTGTCCCGCGTGCTGCCTCCGCCCGGTCGGTGCAGGGGACGGTCATCATCGTCGCCAACGAGGGGTCCGTGATCATGATCCCTGACGGGACGGTACTCAGAGACTCGGTCGTCACCGGGAACTTGCGCATCCTCGATCACTAACCCGGCGGAGCGGCGGAACGGGGGGGCTGGTTATCTTTGCCTGGCCGGAGCCAACAAAACAGGGAGTTGCCCGGCGACGGTTCACCTGGAACGGATCAGCCGTTCGGCGTGCCTGCGACCGATATACTGGGGTCGGTTCCTTTGGACGGAAGCCGATCGGTTGGTCGTCGCTTGGGTGGGTTTTCAAAGCCGATCACTCGAGCAGCTAGCTAGCTCCGGGGCTTCGTTCCTCTTGGCCAGAAAGTCAATCAGATCGCTTGAGATTTGGGTTCTTCCTCTCTTATCCTTCGTGAGTTTTGTGCACAGGAAATACCACGAGGACCGCTACTGTATTAGCGCCCCTGCGTTGTCTGTCTGCGAATCACTAGGTGATAGATTGGTTTTCTTTCTTTTTGTTCTAGAACAGGAAAGAAACCACGGGATGGATTTTTAGGAAACATCTACCTCTCGCTGTAGTCGTTTTGTGTGCTGGTTGCACCCCTCGCCCGGATGTTGATGCCCGCGCGTTGTTCCAGGAAGAGTCGATACGGCACCCAAAAGTTAGAAACCCCCCCCCCTAAAAATGGTATTTTCGCCGCATCTTGTAGAAAGTGTCTTTTTTTTTTCTCTGTGGTACCACGTACACGGCTGTCCCTCGACTCACGGTCGGCAGTGGTGTGTGTATGGAGCCAGGACTCGCCTGGTTAGCTACCACGCGCGTGTGTGTGTATGTCGTCTCTTGGTGTCTTTTCGCCCTCTCTTATCTCGTTTTGCGGACAAGGCGTTGTAGTCCTTTGCTTAGAACGTATACATAAAATACAAACACAGAAAGACTACCCGTTCGAGATATAACCACAGCAGTCGAAAGGGATGTGTTCAAGCAAGTCTTTTCAGCGAGTGGAGGGAAACCTTGTTTCGTCGTTGGCGGTATGCGTAGTTGGTGTCGTTTTTGTTTCGGTTTAGCGTTAACCCGACGCGCTCAGTCTGACCAGGCCCGCCCTCAAGGCGTAGTCTAGTCTGACATTGCAACCCGGTTTTTATTTACAAAAACAAAGTATCATAGGCGCGCAAGGGGAGGCGGGGCGGGGCCATTATATCAGAGGTATGTACTGGCGCTGTACCAGTTCGAATGTTTTGTACAAACGTTGGTTTCCGGTTTATAATTCCAAGAAGAAAATCGGGACAAGGGGATGCGCGAGAGGGGTCGGTACAACGTATAACGAACGACTTTTCTCGCATTCTTTGCATGGGACGGGTGTTGCAGCGTGTTGGCGGTATCTTAATCGTCGGCGCTGCACCAGCGGGCAGGACTTTTGGCATCTAAACGGGAAGACATGGTTGTCGAGGCTTTCTTTGCCAAGGGGCCTCGAGAGCGCAAGGGCGTGGCGTTAGCCGCGTGCATTGTTGCTCGAGTCGTGGCGAATTGTAAAACCGCAGGCTTGCGTATGTGTACCGTATGGAAGAGGACCCGATCGCAAGCATCGCTATAGGGTGTGTGGCAGCGCCCGCCGCCCGTTTTGGACGCCTTGCAAACCCGCCCTGTGTCGTGCACTCTGAAACCCGAACGCCCGCCTCTTCATTCTCCCCCCTTGGCGCATGGGAGTCAAGCTCAGTAAAGTTCGTGAGAGAGAGAGAGAGAGCAGGCATGCGTGGGAACTAACGGCATAAACATCGATTTCAATGCATCTGGAACGAGCACGTACCGCTGCCATCTGTCACACGACATGGGAACGGATACAAGATAGAGCCATCAGATATGAATGCATAAGTGCATCAGGAGACCGCGCAGAAAACACCGGCAGTCTTCTTTCCATCTTGCAAGAGATTCTTGACTTGGAAAGTGTTGCGACATGGCGCATGTCGTCAGGGGTGGATATGACGCCCAATTTCTACGTATGGGCGGGTGTGTGCATATATATCGGGGCGAGGCCCTGTAGCAGGGTATCAAGTATCTGCGAGGAACGACAAGCAAACAACAAGCTAAACGGGGAGAAAACAAAACTGTTGTGAGTGGGGTGACTCCCGGCCACGAACCTCACGAACCAGAAACAAAAGTGGAGAAAAAAAATCTGGTACTTGCGCCTTCGTTCTTTGCGGGACAGATGAGACACATACTGCAAACCAGGCAACGTAGAGTACGTATTAGGTGTGTTCGGCGGTTTCACTCGTTTCCTGTAAAGTATTCCGCCTCCGTCAACGAGGCACACTGAGTTCGATGGCGGTGCAAAAACGAGGCAACATAGCGCACGCAGGTACCATACCACCACACTGCTGTCGGCGCCATGCATGTTTCGCGTGACGGGCGGCCCGGACGGAGAAGGGCAGCATTCGCGGCATCACAAACAAAACGACAGGCAACATTTGGATGCCGATGAATAATTGGACAGTCCACCGGCGCACCGGAACGGGTGAGGTCATCGCCCATCCAGAGAAACCGTCGTGGCTCTAGTAGCTCGGTACGCAGGAAAGGCAAGACGACGACCACCACCGCAACCGGTCTAGATTTCTTTGCAAAGGATTGATGAAATCACTCGGACGATAATGTTCGTACTATCCCATCCTGGTAGAACCTTTACAATAGTGGCCGGGGTCAGGGGTTCGAATCCCGGCGCAAGGGAGCTTTCCTTGCAAAGTGAGTTTTTTCTCTCGCTTCCGCTTCCTCCCTGGCCGGGGTGGAAAGCCCTACTCTGTAGTTCTTGTGTACACAGGGAAGAGAGTACTGTCCTCTTCTCGCAATAAAGATCGAAGGCAAAGCACCGCAAGAGGGGTAAGTAGGGGGGGGGGGGGGGGTTCTATGTGGCCCCGGGATGGGAAAAAAAAGGGACAAAAAAAGCCGGGGGCGCTGATTTTAAATGAAAAAAAAAAAAAAAAACCCCCCCCAAAACACACCCCCCTATCGATGGGGGGGGAAACCCCCCCCCAGGCGGGAAAAAATTTACTCCCTTTATGAAAAAAAGGAAATCAAAACCCTAAAAGCCACCCCCCCTGCCTGGCGG